GTTTCTTTTTAAATTTTTCATCATATTTTAATTTTTTTTGTAAATTATTTGATATGATGAAAATAATGGTAACTTTAGAAAGACCATTTTATGGCTAGAAAAACAGTATATAATATGTGTAGGTACGGTAAATGAATAAGAGGAAAAACACAAACACCGCATAAATGTAAAAACAGCCCTGTTCCTTAACGGTAAGAAAATTGAAAAGCGGTCTAGTCACTAAGGGATTAATATGTGCTGTTCCTTAATCTGTATTTTGTATATATTTCTATCTTTATGGCAGCACCAGAGATGCATGGTGTGCCCCCAATTACTTTTTTCAGTGTCCAGTTTTAACCGCTCCATACAATTCTTCTTGACATCTCTGCTGCCTTTGATACTATTGATCATGGCCTCCTTCTCCTAACTCTTCAAGCCCTCACATGGTTCTCCTCCTATTTCTCCCAACGCTCCTTCAGTGTCTTTTTTTCCAATGACACTTCCTCTCCTCGTCCTGTCTCAGTCAGAGTCCCTAAAAATTCAGTTCTTGGTCCCTTTTTGTTCTCTCTCTATATTGCTTCTCTTGGCAAACTCATTAGTTCATACGGATTCCATTACCACCTGTATGCTGATGAAACCCAGATATACATCTACTCCCCTGACCTCTCCCCTGCTGTCCTACAATGTGTCACCAATTTCCTCTCTTCTATCTCTGATTGGATGTCCTCCTGCTTTCTGGAACTCAGTCTCTCTAAAACTGAGTTTCTTATTTTTCCTCCTCATAACACTGATCCTCCTCCTTCACTCTCCCTACAGGTTGATGGTACCTGCCTCACCCCATCCTTTCAAGCTTGCTGTCTTGGTGTCATTTTTTATCCTGACCTCACCTTTGCACCGCATGTCCAGTCTGTTGCTAAAACCTTTCTTACGCAAGGAGCTTGTTCATACTCTAGTAATCTCTCACATGGATTACTATAATTCCCTCCTAATTGGTCTCCCCGATACTTCCATCTGTGATGAATGCTGCTGCCAGGCTGATCTTTCTCTCTGGTCGCTCCTCTCACACTTCACCTATCTGACTTCCTGTACAGGTGTCAATTTAAAATACTAACCCTTACCTATAAAGCTCTAACCAACTCTAGCCCCTCTTACAATTATTCACTGATTCATAGGTATGCCCACTCTTGGTCTCTCTGCTCTACTGGTGACCTACTCCTGTCTGCTGCTCACACCCTTACTGCAACTTCACACCTGCAAGACTTCTCATGGGCTGCTCCTTTCCTTTGGAACAGCCTGCCTACCCCTGCCAGTATCTCCCCTAGTCAATCCTTTAATAAGTCCCCCAAAACCCATCTTTTCAAGATTGCTTATGGTCTCCAAGATGAACTTCTATCTTCCTCTTGCTCTCTCCTAAAGGGCCACACTCCACTCTCACCTCCAGTTCTGTTACTTTCTACCATATCTATTTGCTGTCTCCCTCAATACCCTTCCTATTGTATTTTTAAAAACCACCTCCTCTAGATTGTAAGCCCGTTTGAGCAGGGTCCTCATCTACCTATTGTTCCTGTTACATTTTGTTATTGTCTCATTTGGTAAATTCCCCTCCTATTGTAAAGCACTATGGAATAAGCTGGCGCTATATAAATAATAACCAATAATAATAATAATACTAAGAAGAACCATATCGGTGTGTGGTCAGGGTGTGGAATATTTCACAAATGGGAAATGTAAATCAGTTTAGACACATCAAGAAAGCAAATGTTTTGCATTGCACATATTATATGACATGGTTAAAGAGACACTCTAGGCATCATAACCAATTCAACTAATTTAAGTGATTATGGTGCCTACGGTGCTCAGATACCACCCTCTGTTTAAATGCTGAAGCATATTGACACATCTCTTTTAGAATATCACTGCCCAGTATTGGTGGTATGAATTGATAATGGTGTATTAGCCCTTTTGTCAGAAGTGGCTGAGCTGTGGGAACCATGGTATCCTGATTATTGCTAAATCATTGAAAACAGTTTAACTATGAAATAGGGGAGGGTGCCCAGGGACCCCAAGCACCATAACCACTTTAGCTCATTGACGTGCCTAGGGTGCTCCTTTAAAAAACACAGAATGGAACTGGGAGAAACTATTAGAAATAGAGAGAGAGAAAAACTAAACAAGGGGGGCGTGGCCTGGACACGGAGGAGAATGGCAGCATAATCTGAGAGCTCCGACCCACATAGCTACAATAGCAAGATAAAACTACAGCAAGGCACGAACATGGGGCGCACTAAACGCCCAGACGGCTCTCAGACCCCTCGGGGCCACCCAAACCTCTCCCAAACCGGACCCATGGACGGGTACCTGACCTCCTCAGCGGGCGCGAGCCACGAGGCAGCAGAATTCAACATGGCCGACTCTCCGGCCCTCTCACCCGCCTCAGACACCGGCGGTCCCTCTCTGGCGGATATTAGCGCGGACATACGAGCACTGGCTGCCTCTATGGTGACAAAAGAAGATCTAAAGGCCCTTTCAGACACCCTGCATGCGGTGATTCGCACGGAGGTAACTGCGATCAAGGCTGACATAGCCACTCAGGCCTGCAGACTGCAAGCAATGGAAGCATCTGTGCAGAGTACAACAGCACAGGCAGAAACCACAAACCTTGCTATCACCAGGCAAGGGAACATGCTCCTGGCCCTGAGGCGCCAGGCGGAAGATTTGGACAACAGAGGCCGTAGGTCTAACATCAGAATCCGCGGCCTACCGGAATCCGCGGGGGAGGAGGACGTGGAGGCTACACTGCAGACCCTGTTTAGAGAAATACTGGGGACTGAGGCACCAGAAACCATAGAATTCGACAGAGCGCACAGGGCTAACAGAGCACGAGCGGCAGACAACACACCACGAGATATTGTTTGCTGCCTGCACACTTACAAACTAAAGGAAAGGATCATGACTAAAGCCCGCCTGAGACCTACCTGGAGGTTCCGCGACGCAGAAATAGCCCTATATCAGGACTTATCCCCCCTCACACTGGAAGCCCGCAGGGCTCTCAGACCCATCACTGCACTACTCAGAGAAAGGGGAATTCCGTATAAATGGGGGTTCCCCTTTATGCTCCAGGCACGACACAACAACGAGTGGACCCAACTGCGCTGGCCAGAAGAGGTCCCCAGGTTCCTACAACGCCTAAACCTGCCGCCGACGGAGGTAATCAACTGGATCCTGGGCCCAGTGGACCCTCGACAGGGACCGCAAACGCCGCGACAACAGCGACAACGCAGAGACGCCACACCACGAAGACCACCAGCCAGACGACAACTGGCACCGACAGAACCAGAGGAGTAACAGTTGGCGAACTTCCCCCCCCCCCCTCCCCCCCCCGGACTACCTCAGACCAAGCCGTGTTCTGGAAGATGGAAAAGAGGCCACAAGCCCACCGGAACGATCAGATAAGTCCCACGCTACACCCACACACATAAGAGAAATAGGCCAAAGATACAGCACATGAGCCCTAGATACTCCCTCCCCCGGGCTTGGGAACAACACAGGGGTAAGAAGCGAACTATAGCATCAATTTGGGTGGGGAACCGAGGGGAGGTGACATTGGAAGAGACATTCCACCGCATAGACCTGGCCTATTGCTGATAGAGGCACGAACTCCGGGTTGATTTAAAGACACTCGGAAGGACTGGGACCTGAGGAACTGCTGGTCCCCAAGAAGGGAGAACCAAAACATCCCCACACTGGCAGATCAAATGCAGGTTGGGTCGGGGGGTTTGGGGGTGGGAGGGGGATGTGAGCAGCTGACCGGGGGGGAGAGACCACAGCGGGGGAGAGGGGCTGGGACGGGGGGGAGGAGGGGAAAGGGAAGGGGGAAAAAATAAAAATAAAAAATAAATAAATAATCTTCCGCAACTATGATTACCTGGTCCAGGGGGACCAAACTCGCAGGGAGTTAGGTGAAGTAGAGAAGAGGGGCAGAATGGGGCAGAATTATCAGATATAGGTAAAGGTATAGGTAAAGCCATGTATATTTAATGATGTATACCAGGGGGTGCAGAGAGACCCAGAGGACACACGATTGGAGCCAGACTTAAACAAGGAATGTTATGTAACAAATACCATGTGATATATGTTGATAAAGGTTGATGATGTTTTACACCACTTTGATGCCCATAAATACGATACAGCCAACCTGCCACCCATATGCGCAATAAGTAAACTAACCCCGAGCAAGGTCCACCCACCGTAATTAGAACCATGACTACAAGAGAAGTAAGCAACCCCACACACATAGCTATCACACGCCCGCAGACATGGACACAACTCACAGGGAGTATCATGTGCCCTCCGCCCCCCCCCCCTCCTGACAGACGCATAGCACCCCCTGCAGGGCACATTACTAAGGAAATCCCCGCTTGGGACTTTCCCAGGGTCCGAGACCATGCACAGAGGGGAGCGACCCCAGACATAGACACATCACAATAGGATATGTACTCTAACTACAGCCTTCGCCCGACCATAACGTGACCTTATGGACCGCAATCTAAATAAAATTAGCAAAACAAATACACTTAGCTTAGACATAAGTGGGGACTGGAAACCTCATGAAGACTGCCAAATACAATCTCGAATACCTCAAGAACCCCACACCTGTGTACCTGCAGGCAAATACAACGGCCAACACCAGGCCCACACCCCCGAACTAGACCTGTGTATACGTAGACTACTGGGGGCGTCGACTCCGTGGCTGTCCTAGTATTCTCTAGGGAACGGTGCGGACTTGATACTCCACCCAGTTACACAGGACCCTCTCACATTGAGGGATTAACTTATAAAAGGACAACATTTGTGGGACCAGACCCCTACAGCCTTCCCGAGCTGAGCAAAAAACAGACAAGGGTCGAACTGATCACGTAGAAGTTCACTGAGGGGGCGCTACACCACCTGAGTGAACCTCGAACACCCCTTTTCCCTTCACACCACCCCCCCCCTTTCTCATCCCTTCCCCCCCCCCTTACCTCCAGACCCGGGGTGCGCGGGGAAAACTGAGAGCCGGACCCAAGACACCACGCGGCATCACCTCCGACATAACCTCGGTCACAACATGGCATACATTCCCACACCATTTCGCATCACGACTCAGAACTGCAGAGGCCTAAATACAGCCGAAAGACGCTCTCATCTCCTACGAGAACTTGCGCGAGAGCAGGTCTCTATTGCCATGTTACAGGAAACACATCTTAAACCTACGGACACACACAGACTGAAGAGCAGACACTTCCCAGACAACTATCACAGCACACACCCAACAGCGCGTAAAGTAGGGGTAGCAATCCTCCTAAACGCCAACCTACAATTCAAACTGACCGACCAGCTATCCGACCCGAACGGCAGATTTCTCTTCATTAAGGGCACAATTCTACAGAAAACATACACACTCGCCTCAGTATATGCGCCAAACGCAAAGCAAGCGACGTTCCTCCGCAAGACAATCTCACAGCTAGCCACCTTCACAGAAGGGGCGCTTCTCATAGGAGGGGACTTTAACGCTCCCCTGGATCCACTGTCTGATTCCTCGACAGGACACAGTAGTATACCACAAACGGCGATCCGAACTATACGGAAATCTCTCAGAGACCTGAGATTGGTGGACGCATGGAGAGCCCTGCATCCAACGGATCGAGACTACACACACTATTCCTCTATCCACAGGAGATACTCCCGCATCGACTACCTCCTCATCCAACAAGAGGGCCTGCAAAGACTCCAGAAAGCAGAGATACGCACCACTACGTGGTCAGACCATAGTGCTGTGACCATGCTCCTAGACTCCCCCATGTTTAGGCCCGCACGGACAGCATGGAGAATGAACGAGTCACTCCTATCCGACTTAGAGGTACAGACGCAATTAATGGAACACCTCAACACCTATTTTAACGAGAACAACACAGGGGATGTGTCGCAGGTGACGCTGTGGGAAGCACACAAGACTGTGCTCAGAGGGCACTTTATAAGAATAGCATCTCGAAAAAAGAAAGAAGCACAACAACGCCTAAATGAACTCACCAACCGCATAGCACAACTAGAAACGCTCCATAAACGAACGCAACTGGAGACACAGTACCGTTCCCTCTTAGAAGCCAGAAACCAACTGACGGAGCTGGTGGCCCGCAGACATCATAAGACGACCCAGAGAAACCGAGCCTTCTATTACATTCATGCAAACAAGAGCGGAAGACTACTGGCCCACATGATCAAGAACCGCCAAGCCAGAGCTCAGGTACACGAACTGAGGACAACCAAAGGCACCCTCACACAATTCCCGGAGGAAATAGCAGAAGAATTCCGAAAATATTATCAAACTCTGTACAACATAGACCCCAAGACAACGGGCGAACGTCAAGAAGACAGAATACTAGCCACAACACAGTACCTCCAGAACTTCAGACCTGAAGCGCTTTCCTTAGAAGAGGCAAACGCGATAGAAACACCAATAACAACGGAAGAAATACAAATGGCGATCAAACAAGCAAAAACCGGGAAGGCCCCGGGCCCAGACGGCCTACCGGCGGGATATTACAAAAAATTTGGCGAATTACTAGCCCCATACCTGACAAAAGCGTTGAATCGACTGCAGCAGGGAGACAAGTTCCACCAGGAAACCCTAGCGGCAACGATAACAGTAATACCTAAACCCGGAAAAAACCCTGAAAACTGCGGGAATTATCGGCCGATATCCCTAATCAACACAGATGTGAAGTTATTCTCGAAAATTTTAGCGACTAGACTACAAAAATACATGACACGCCTGGTACACCCGGACCAAACAGGATTCATCCCAGGACGAGAGGCCAGAGACTGCACCCTCCGGGCGTTCGCCATCCAAAACCTAGCGCTCAAAGCAAAAACGAACCTCTTAATGCTCTCCACGGACGCTGAAAAAGCGTTTGATCGGGTGACGTGGAGTTTCATGATGGCGACCTTAGTCAAAATGGGACTAGGAAAAGACATGCTCGCCTGGATAGAGGCACTCTACTCCGCCCCAAGCGCCAGAATACGGATAAATGGAGCACTCACAGACAGACTCCAAATACACAACGGCACCAGACAAGGCTGCCCGCTGTCGCCACTCCTATTCGCCCTAACCCTGGAACCGTTCCTGGCCAAAGTACGACAAACAACGGAAATCCAAGGATTCAAACACAAAACCCAAGAACACAAGGTAGCTGCATACGCAGACGATATGCTCTTTTTTATAGCCAACCCACTACACACGCTCCCAGCCTTGATGGAAGAATTTGAGGCATACGGACGGATATCGGGACTAAAATTAAACTTGTCAAAATGCGAAATTTTAAACATAGCTTCGCCAACAGCAGTGCGGGAAGAAATCCGAAGCAGATACCCTTTTCACTGGTGCACAGAGCAAATGCGCTACCTAGGAATCTGGATACCTAGTAACCCAAAGGAACTATATTGCAGGAATTATACTCCCCTCCTCCACACAATCCTGACTGACCTCAGGAACTGGAATTACGACTACATCTCCTGGCAGGGCCGCATAGCAGTAATTAAAATGAACATCCTGCCGCGGCTATTATACCACTTCAGCACCATTCCCTGGAACATACCACCAGATTTCTTCACAACACTTAAAACAGCGGTAATAAAATATGTATGGAAAGGAGAGAGAGCACGCCTACGCCATGACAAGCTATGCCTCCCAAAAATGTGGGGCGGGCTGGCTCTGCCGGACCTACGAAAATACTATTATGCAACTGTACTCCAACGAATCTGGGAATGGCACGCAGCGACAGCAACCAAACTATGGGTGGCCATAGACAGGGAGAGTACGAATAAAGCTCTATACACGTATATATGGCAAGGCTCGACGGACGCTAAACAACACCTGAGTAATGATTCCCCCATTATACAGACGCTGAAAACTTGGACAAACCTAAGGAAGAAACAACACTTATCACCCCAACCAAGCCCTTTAATCCCACTGACACACAACAAAGCGATAGGAGGCGGACTGCAGACAACTGCGTGGCCCATAGCTTCCGAGGGAAACTTCATCCCCCTGAAAGGAGCACTGAATAATGCAGGACTGAAAACTTTACGAGAATGGTCAACCACAGAACAACACACGATGATGCACAGATACCACTATGCACAACTAAGACACTTCTACCATAACCTACCCAAAAGAGAGGCAGTACACAGGGACACGACGTGGTTCGAACATCTCTGCACTACAGATGCAGATGTACAAGGCAAAGTATCCAGCATATACCAGCAACTGATCACAGAGGACCATCCAAGAAGGAACGCCTTCCAAAGACAATGGGAAGATCTCACTGACAGATCCTACTCGGAAGCCCAATGGGGACAAATACTCATCCTCCAACACAAAAGCTCAATTAGCACTAGGTATCAAGAAGTGAACTACAAACTGATATCCCACTGGTACAGGACACCTGCACTACTGCATAGAATATTCCCGGGAGTCTCAGAGACGTGCTGGAGATGCGAAAACGAAACAGGCACCCTACGCCATCTTTGGTGGGATTGCGCCAAAATCAAACCATTCTGGACTGAAATAAAAAGGGAAATAGCGTCAATATTGGGGGACATACCCGACCTCACGATAGAAATGGCGCTTCTACACTACACCGAAAGCACAATAAGCCAATACAAAAAATCGATACTACGACATCTACTTAACGCAGCCAAGGCATTGATCCCAATGAGATGGAAACAAACTCAACCTCCCACCAAGACGGAATGGCTACAAAGAATAGAAGAAATTCACACCGCGGAGGCGAGATACGCAGACCTACTAGGAAGAAGCACTAAGCATGTCGAGCTCTGGAGACCGTGGTACACATACCTAGCACAAACCAGAACCTAGCAAACTCACATTGTGGCCCGCGGTACTTGGGGACCCCCCGCGCACCTCGGTGTCCACCTCAATCATTCGTCTCCCCTCCCTCCCCCCCCCTTCAGCTTCCCTCCCCCTCCTCTACCTTCTCGCTCATTTGCCCTAAGAGGACCCCACACACCACCCCCCCCACCCACCCCACCCCCCCCATGAAAAAGTTATTTGAGGCAATAAAAGCCGAGAGGAACAGAGACGGAATAGCGACAAAAGGTCACAAGACAAAAGAGCGACGCAGATTATCCCAACCACACTAGCAATAATTATGACCAAGCGGAACGCAGAGAAACTAGAAGGAGCCACACACCTGGGAGGGACTAGCCCCCATAATAGACCAGTATAGATAAACAATAGAAAGCAGGAAGTCACGCGAACGATCGCGGACACATCAAGGCCATAAGACATGACCAAACCTAATACAGAGCGAGGAGAGTAACATGACCAATAGTACACAGGACAAAGGACAGGCCCATGGACCAAACGAGACTTTACACAGACATTGATCACAGAAAAGGGATGGAAAGGCAGAAACAAGGCACACTCACCACTTTCCTCTGTGTACTCCACAGAAAGTCTCCATAACCCTCCCCCGATCTACCAAGCTAACTACAACTACATGTGTAACCATTGTATAAATCCTGGGCACAAGTTAACACACACAAATGCAACCCTATACGCGTGTTAAAAAGTAAATCAAGCTAACATACACGCAACTTTTACCCAACCCTCGCCACCCCCCCTTTCCTTTTCTTCCGTACTAACTAATACGACAAGGGACCTGCGAGTCCACCCACAATCTGGGTTTGAAACAATTCGCTTATCTAACACACATCTGCGCATTTTCTATGATTGATATTTGCACATGTTACGCAATTGTTACTGTATTTGTTACTGTATTACATACGCCAATGGATACCTGCGTGTATCACTGTATCCCATTTCCTTTATTTGCAAACCAAATAAAAATCATATTTACAAAAAAAAAAAAAAAAGAAAAACTAAACAAAATCCAGTAGAATTAGACTTTTTTTTTTCAATTCAGGGTGACCAGATCCACCATGTTTACAGGTACACATATAAGCATCTCATATTTATGAAAACACATGGAAAGGTTGCCCTGCAGTGTCTATAATGCATATTCTGCATTATTGCCTACTGCTTAATTGCAGGATTCTTCATTGCCTACTTGCTTAGTCTAATACACATTCCGAATTCTATATACCTAAAGGGCTACCCTTTTCATGTGTTGCCCATCAATATGTATATGTGATATGTGTCCCCGAAAACATGGTGGATCTGTTCACCCTGAATAAGGTACAGTTTTTAATTTTGCATGATATCACATACTTTTGGGAAG